CGGCGGTCCCGGCCCGCGGCGGCCTCCTGACCTTGCCACCGCCTGACACCCCCTCCTCTACCTCCTGCTGGAGTGGGTGTTACCTGGAGTCCGTGGCGCTGTTGGAGTGACTCACACGCGACCATAGTGGCTCTCCGCGTCGTCCGCTCTACCGCCCCACCGGTCGGTACTCACCGAGTTCACCTCTTCTCGCGATCCGAACGAGACGGAGATGGAGTAGTGCGTCCCCCCTCCTGCCCCACCACCACCACTCCTTCCAGCTGTTGGCTCGCCCCCCCCCCTCGCCATTGTCAGTAACCCACTCGAGCAGCGTCCACCAGCCGTGGGCGTAGCGAGCTGCAGTAGCAGTACACAGCAATGCACATGCACACTACACCGGCCCCGCGCGGGTCAGCGCCCCGTCGAGATAATCATACCCCATCAGTTGCATGTGTTCCAGCGCCGAGCAAGGAGTAGAGTAGTTTTGAAGCCGAGGCGGAGCAGCAGCAGCAGCAAAAAAAGAACTACACGACCTCCAACGGTCGAAAATAAAAAGTGATGTAACGCTTTATTTTCGGGCGGGCGCGCAGAGAGACTGGCGGGGCGGACTGCTGCCGCTGGAGAGGTGCGGGAGCGAGCGGAGCGACGTCACCGGTCGGCTGATCAGCTGCGTGACGCGGCTCGCCGTGACGCCATCGGGCGGGGCGCGGCGCGGCCCGGCGCCTCGGCCTCGGAGTGGCACATGCGGCCCACCCAGCGCGCTTCTCTGCTATATCTGCTGGTCGGTTGGCGACATTGAATGATCGCAAACCTTTTGCGACTTCCGCGAAGCGGCGCTGCTGTGCTCCCTCTGGAAGAAGTAGAAAGGACGCGCTGCAACAGCGGCTGCGTGACGAAAAAAAAGGCTTATATTAAACAAAAATGTCGCAAAACTTTTGTCCCCTTTTATTCCTTTTTCTCGCCTCATCACAGCGCCTCGCCGCCGCCGTCGCGGCGAATTTGTCCAAACTGCACTAAAGAAATGAGGAAAACTCCCTCTCTCTCTCTCTCACTCGTGCCGCTCGCGCTCCACATCCTGCTCCTCGTCGTCCTCCTCCTCAAGTTGTGCGCAGCTGGCGCCCCGCTGGCCATCAATCATTAGCGGGGAATAAGCTGCGCGACAATGGCGACTCGAGGCCGGCGCGGTGCGGCGGGGGCGAGCGAGCTATTTATGAGAAATTGCGCAGAGCGGCACGACGACGACAGCAAAGAGAGATCCTCCTCACTGAACTGCAGCAGCCAAGTCTCTCTGCGGGGAGCAGAGCAGGCGGGCGGCGGCGCTCTTCTGATAATGAGAGGTGCGGCCTGCATCCCGCCGCCGCCGCCGCCGTCCTCGCTGCCACTCGCAGTCAAGGTCTAGGTCAGCTCGTCGCGCTCGGCGCCGCGGCCACATTCCAATCACTTTGGACGCGGAGCAGCTCGTAAACGCGCGGCGTGTGTGTAAAGCCTGCGCCTGCGGGTGACACGTCATCCTGACACAGGATTGAAGCAGCGAGTTTT